GCTAGCACTGTACCAAGGGTGGTGGGCATACTAAGCTAGCACTGTACCAATGGTGGTGGGGGCCGTACTATGCTAGCACTGTACCAAAGGTGGTGTGGGCTGTACTAGGCTAGCACTGTACCAAGGGTGATGTGGGCTGTACTAGGCTAGTTGTGTATCAAGGCGTACATGTAATATACTTGTGTGTAGAGAAGTGTATGTACTTGTATCAATAACACTAAAATACCAGGCTCATACAATAACGACACCATGGCTTTGCAACACGAACGATCATATTTTTGTGTGCACCAAGGACATGGCCACACCATGCACTAAATACCCTAGCTACGCCACCGTATCAAATTGTGACTTTACTAACAAGACCGCCTATATGATGAGCAAGCTACTAGAATAATCCCTACAAACTTACTCACGCGTTGATCTAAGTACAATTAGTAACACTGAATCGTAACACAAATAAAAGATGGAATATTCCGGAAAAAAAGCTACACCTTTAATGAGGCGTGTGTTGACGTACTAATGCACGCATCCCCCAGAGGCGTAGCTAGGGGAGGGCGGCCGCCCCGGGCGCCGACCCTAGGGGGGCGCCAAAAGGGGTAGAAAAAAAATTTAAGCTGTAATATCCCAGCCTTCCCCTTTCTCTATTTCAAACGATTTCTTTCAGGACTTATTTGGTCTTTTTCTCTTCCTCTTTCCCCGTGGACTTCACACAAACACCTGCATAGTGATGTTATTTTTTATCTTTCTCATATTGTGTCCTAACCACCATATTTTCTATATCCACTGTCTTTAACCTAGCTCCGAGCCATACAGTAAAAGATATTTCATATTTAGCTATAGAGCATGACTGAAATTTTTTTGACAATGCATTTTATTTCCACATCGACTTAGAATGTTAATACGCATTTTATCGCTGCTGATTCTAATCTGAACGTCATGGGCTTCAGCTACTATCATTAAACCGGTTAATACAGCTTTGTCAACCAGTACAATTAATTCTGAATTTTTTGTTGACTGTGAGCGAGAAGGCAGCGCACATCTGATAAATCCAAGACTTCGAGCTGTTGTGTCCGTTGGATTCCACTTTGTTTCCTTCAGCTTGTTTCATTATACAATCAAACAGTCAACGAAATACCCATATCGTATTCCAATGTGTACAATACTTTGCTATTGTAAGTCAATTGTGTGACCTTAATCTAACAAACTTATAATCCAACTATGTACTATAGCATAACAGAGATTGCTCCAAAGATAAAACATAAAAAGACTGTCCTAAACGAATTAGCACCTTCTACAAATATTTTTTTTCTGACATTACTAATAATTTTTTAAAGGATAATGCATCTTACAGGGAATTTAATTGGCGCTGAGTAAAGATTTAGGGAACGACAATCATACAGCGTAATTATTAATCTTTTTCCGGACTGTCGCACACACATACACACACATATATATATATATATATATATATATATATATATATATATATATATATATATATATATATATATATATATATATATATATGGGGGCGCCAAACTGAAAGTTCGCCCCGGGCGCCGGGAGGGGTCGCTACGCCTCTGGCCTCCCCCCCACATTTGAACAAACGTATTTTTTTAAGACACCAAATAGATCTACAAATTGAAGGGGAAAAAAAGCTTGCTTAAAAAGGGAACGATGAAGCAATATTTGCCTCGAAACAAGCAAAAAAAAAAAAAACGAGGGGGGAATGTTCAAAGGACACGTGATGTGACTCAGTTATCAGTTATCGTGTGCTATTTCCTGTCGACACAGCCAATGGCCTGAAACCTGATCACAACTCACACAGGATATCAATCAAATCATTGCGCGAGGTAAACCTGTCATCTCGACCCACACCTCCCCCATGCCTTTGCACTGTCAAGCTAAAGGGAGATAACCTCGGTAACAGGTACCAGAAAATAATGGACACGAGCGAGAAAACTCTCAAAGGTATTTGAGAGGTGTATAAATTAGTTTAAAAATCATGCACAGCGTAGTTACAATTAATATGGTTATAAAATCCTGTCTATCTGGTTTTTTTCGGACTTTACTAAAGATTGGATGTATTTGATGTTTATAATATTTTCGGTAACTAAATAAAAATTTAAAAAAAGCAAAAACAATTTGGTTTTCACGTGTAATGGCGACATAAACAATGGCATCCTGCTATTGGATAGGCCGTCATTGATTTTATTGTACACATTGTAAGCTAAAAATAGAAAACTAGGTCATGGGTTTTTTAATTTGCATTGTTATTTAAAAACTTGATCTGCAAAGTTTTGTAAACAAATAGTTATCGATCACTAAGTTACTGTACAGCCAATCAATATTTGTCTTACGAAAGTGAAACATCCGGTTTTAACTTAGGCTTGATGAAAATAAATAGAAATGTAGCCTTAAACTCAACAAATTATTTTCAAGTTCTCTGGATTTGCAACTTTTATAGCATTTATTCTAAAAATATAAAATTTCTAAATTAATTTTAGGCTTAAGTTTTTATTTTTTATTTTTTTTTACGGTCTAAATCTTAAAAAGCACGTTTTTATTCCATGTCAACAACATTGGGGACGGAATCTCGTCAACTCGCTCGCCTCCATTGAGTTCGCTGTTTATGGCAATGCGGGTGGGGGGCAGAAGAGATACTATCACCACCATGCAATGTATATACATACACATCAGCAAAGGACTACTACATCATATTCAATACAAATACACAAAGGTTGGTAAAATGCCCAATGCACAAGTTGGGGTACTCCCATCAAACAAGTTGACCTATAGAACTAGACTACACAATGCACAAGTTAAGGTATTCTCATCAAACAACTTGGCCTATAGAACTAGACTATGCAATGTACAATTTCGGGTATTCCCATCAAACAAATATAGAACTAGAGTACTAGACAATTAATAAAGTAAATAATATAGGAAACAAACTTTAACATGTAAACAACATATATAGTGAACTACTTGTGTACTATTCTGCCATCTATAACATCTATAAAAGGCACTTAATATATAGTTACACCTTATTCTTGGACATAATATATGACAAGCTTAACCTTCATGTTGCTTAAACAGACCACATAGGGTATTTTACATTTGAATTATTAGTGGAAAACAAGCAAGAAGGCGCTTTTGTTGTTGAGCTACAATTTATTAATTTGTAGTAGAATTAAAGAGTCAAAGAAATGGCATTGTTTTTTTCAAATTTATAGTAGGCCTACTACAGAATGAAGAATGGAGAAAGATGATCACAAGTGTTGACAACCTAGACTAAAGGACAGAAGTAAGAAGAAACAGCACTTTCAGATACAAGTAATGAACATGTTTAGTAATTTGTATTTTCAGATGAGGTTATTTATTAGTATTTTCAGATCGCTCTATCCTTATACTTTATATTAAAATACGCATAATACCAATTATTTGCTGCTTTGAGTTGTTGTTTTTAAATTTAAAAAGACATCAAACTGTTCAAACACCACTCGAAAGCTTTTACTACAAGTCCATTGATTCTTTAAACAAACACAAGCCAGTAATGGCAGGCAAACAAGTCTAATGCTGTAGCTGCTGCTGCTACAGCCAGTAGGGTCTACATTGTCCCGGTGGTTGATACACTGCTGGGACTGGGAGCAAACACCGTCCCATCAACCCAAGTTTACCATTGCCAGATAAACTAAAGAGGTTTTGATTCAAATCTGTGGAAGCTTTATACCATGTGTAAATATCCATCTCCAACATGGAAATTTTGACACTGGATTCTTGGTGCATTGTCTAAACCATGGTGCGGCCATAACCAAATGCAATCAGAGGCGTAGCAACCCATTCTGGCATTGGGGAAATACCAGTTTTGCTTACCCCCCTTTTATATATAAAGCTATTTTAAATGACTAAAAAGTAACCCCCCCCCCATTTTATCAGTTACTGTCCCTTAACCATTGCTATTTTTGTATTCCGCAACTGATGTGGAAAACAGTTAAATACGTCCTTAATATTAACTTTGACTGTATATAATTTAATAATGAAGCTCACAATAACTTTTTTGTCTTTTTATATACCCCATTTGGTACTCCCTAGTGTCTGAACCCCACCCACCCTTTCTTAGCTATGCCTATGCATGAAGAAATCTCTATTAAACGTTTCAGTCCTGAGTCCATATTAATTTAAAGATGTGTTTGATGCTGTACATTATAATAGAGATAAGTTTTGGGAGTTTAAGTAATAATGATTTAACATAGCACTAATGCCTACACTTCAAGAGAACCTGTAGCTCTAATTTGCTTTGAATGATCAAGCAAATTTTTTTTGATAAGCTCCACATATGCAACACAAGATTGTTCCAATTAAAGTTCATGTTAACAAAATGTAAAGTTAAATAACAATTTAAGTTGCATTAAAACTACTTGTCTGATCTTCCAACACAAAAAAATCCCCATAATGATAATGGATAATTAGAAGCAGGCGTTATACGTGTTTAGTTTTAAAAAGTTTAAATTACAGACCACTAGAAAAAAACAATGTTAATGAATTAAAACCACAGAATTATTTTTACACCCACGTCTATAGAATATCTCTGGGCAAAATTTTTTAAAAATGGTTTGATGGAAGCCAAAGACATTAAGAGTGTCATTGAACTGAGTAAACTGATTTGCAAGAGACATAACAGATTTAAAACCCTGAAAATAGTGTAAATAGCACTGATAAATGATCCCTCCAAAAAACAAAACAAATGCCAATCAGTCACTACAATCACATGTAATAATTCGTAGTCTTAAAGTGAGATGATAAAATATACCCTTGTTCATAGTATTACATACCCTGCATTTATTTTATTGGCTAAAGCTTTAACATAACTAAAGGGAAGCAACTACATTATTGCTTTAAATATGAAAGTGGGTTATCTCCCTGTGAGTCCATTCCATAACAATATGTAAAAAAACATTTTAAGCTTACGATAGCAGATCAAATTACTATTTCGACACTCACCTTGGTCTCCTCAAGTGGGTGAAATTCGAATATCTGGGCATGAACTCAACCACAGGACTCGAGGCCGTCACGATCCAGCGGTTAGACTGACCACAATCAAAGTAAGGCCGCGTAATCCTCACAGGCAACATCTCGTCCTTGCTCTCACTACCAGGTTGCTGGGGACCAAAGAACTTGAACTCTTCAAAAGCATCGGTTGTGAATTTCCCCGTAGTGTTGGAGTACTTGATAGCCACGGAATAGGTGAACTTCCTGGTCGAGTCTGTATCTGCCTTCAGGTCGGGAAGCCAGAAATCTACCCAGGGGTTGCCTTTGTACCTCTTGTCGGTGTAGTTGCGGGCGTTGCCGGCAGCCAAGTCCCAGATGTCGATGGTGCTGTTGGTGGGTTCTCTCAGGTAGTTTGTAGGTTCGTTGTAGTCGTCCTCCCTCCAGGCTTTGGGCCCAAACAGGTTGAGTGTTCTGTTGAACTCTAGAGTCGTGTACCTGGGTTAATGTTAAACAACAAATATTTAATGAATAATATTTAAAACAACAAATATTTAATGAATAATATATAATCGACTTCGCAAAAATGGTTTTAAAAAAATTTATAAAGTTATGTACCTGGATTTATGTTAAACAATAAATATTTAATGGATAATATTTAATCGATTTCGCAAAAATGGTTTTAAAAAAATTTATAAAGTTATGTACCTGGATTTATGTTAAACAATAAATATTTAATGGATAATATTTAATCGATTTAGCAAAAATGGTTTAAGAAAAAATTATAATTAGACATTGCTGTAAATCATAACACTTGACTAGGTATATCATGAAAAAAAACCCAAATATGTTGGCCTAATTGTTAACATTAAACAAATAGTGTTGAAAAACATATAATTAGATACAAATGTAAACCAAAATATTTGTCTGGGTTTATTCACACCAAAAAATATTTAATTGATTAGATTAAATAAAAATTGCTAAAAAAAATTAAAAAATTGCATATACAAATGTAAACCAAAACATTTGACTGGATATGCAAAAAAAAAAAAAAAATAAATGATAAGATTAAACAAATATAGTTAAAAAACATTATAATTAGATACAAACGTAAACCAAAACATTTGACTGGGTATATGCAAAAAAAATAATTTTTTTGTGTGTGTTTTAAACAGGTGAATTAAAAATTCAACAGTAAAAATAAAAGACTCAAAACAATGGGTCAGGGTATCATCATGAGAATACTGCTTTAACAAGGTATACACCTAACCCTTAAGTCTTTCACTACAAGTAACATCCCAACCATGAAACTCAATTCAAAAAAAGAGTTAGGTTAACCATGGATCAAAGACTGTCTATCACAAGCAATAAGCTATGGTCAAATGATTTGGTTATAAGCTATCAATACCACTTAAAGTGTGATTTAATTACTAGTGATCTAAAAACCACACTAAAGTGTACTCGTTGGCTAAAAGCTATCAATACTTAGCTAAGCTGTATAACTGTACGATTCAGCTGCTACCTACCAATTGGGGTAAGAACAATTATTGTCAAAGAACAACCCGGAACCGTTGATAAATCCAGCGCTAGCCGAGATGTCTGCGGCAGCGGACATGTATATGTACATCAGGCCAGGCTGGGTAGAGAAGTCCCAGGTGTTGTTCATCCTCTGGTAGATCAGGGAGTAGAAGAAGGCCCTGTTCAACGCCATGTTGTGGACATGAAGCAGGGTGGTTCTGTGGAGGGAGAGAAAAAAAACCAATGGAGTTTGTTATTAAAAACAGTTATTTTTAAAGCCCATTATTGTGGTAATAAGCTACCAATTCCGGCACTTGAAGCTAATTATTAATTTTTTAGTTATTTTTTAAGCCCGTCATTGTGGTAATAGGCTACCATATCCGGCACCCGAGGCTAATTATTAATTTTTGCCCCCCCCCCCCCCATTTAAATATATAAATTTTCACATTGGTACAAAGGTGCACCCTCGCCAATTGAGAAATTTCGAGGGGTTTTTACCAGTCATTTTTCTTTTTAATTATAACACAAGAAAAAAATGTCTTGTGAAGCCCTGCCTAAATCTTTATGTCTATTGTCTGTAGTTAAGTTAGTGTTGCGAAATGTACTCAATATCTAGTAGTGGTATCTACACGTGTCCTACCTACCTTTTAATTTAAATCGTAATTTAACAGCAATGCTGTGTGTGTTTTGAGCCTAGATCTGGGTCTTAGACATTCCCCCCCCCCCCCCCCCATGCTGAAGAAACCTGAACCTAACAACAAACCTATAGCTAACTCTAACCCCAGAATCAATCCTAACCCCAACTCTAAACCTACATCTAACCCTAAATGGGAGGGGGGTAATTGCTGAGGGGGGGTGAGTTTATGTCCTGCTCCCATCTAGATTCTAGATAGACTGTATAGAGTATAGAGTCTCCGGCTTGTGTTCTAGTTCTAGGTCTACCTATTATTGTATGTATCGACTATGTCTAATCCAACACCTATGCCTGGTTTACCTGTTGGAGTAAGTCTTGGAACTCAGCAACTGATTGTACTTTGGCACAGCGGCTATGGTGTCGATGGGCAACATGAGCTGCTCCTTGTCTTTGGATCGGCAGTTCTGGGCCGAGACGTTGGAGAACATGTCGTTGATCTCATCCCACCTGTCCCGTTTCATCCACTCGTAGGGCGTCGAACTCACCAAATACACGGCACAACAGCTGACGAACAACACCAGGAATAGTCGTCCCATCCTAGGCATGGTTGATGAATACGAGGACGACCAAGTTTTGACAACTTTTGTTTGTTAATTTACTCGCGAATTAAACACAGCTAAATTTATTACAACATTGTTTTTAAAGATCCTCGAGTTCGTTGTTTAGTGCCTATTCGACGAAGAAGCTATACAGCTGTTTTAACTTTGAATTTTAAAATAAATAAACACAAATCAAACCGATAACATTGTTTTATGAACACTTCCGCATTTGGTGCCCTTATCAATATGGCGGTATTGCTTATATTTTGTGACCAGTGTGTTTATTTCAAAAGACGGAAGCGACGCGGTGACACAGGTGAGAATTTCGTGTGACTAGGCCCTTAAAGTAGGTCACGACAGGTTGACGGGCGAAAGTGTGCTGTAAAACCGTTTAATGTATTTTAAAACAAACATATTGCAGTAGATATTAATATTTTACTTATTTTTTTCTTCTTTACCAAAAGACTATACCACTAAGATATGATATTAAATAAAATTGTTTCATATTTAGTTGAGGCCATAAGCGGCAAATTTTAAGAAGTAAAGTGAATGGCATTACTTATTTTTTTACTGCTAGGTTTTCGTTTAAGTTTTTTTTTCTCGACCGAATAACATTGAAAAGTTAACCCAAGATTATTTTTTCTTTAAAATTTCCTTTTGCAACGTTTGAAAGACAATTTATATACACTATGCCCGATTCTCTGGGACTGAAATGGGAAAATGATGTCTACTTTGTTTGAGCAGGGTACAGCAGTGGCGTCGTTAGGTCGGGTGCCACCCGGTGCGGCACTTCATGTTGTCATCCCCCCCCCCCCCCTCACCCGCTACACACACCAAAGTATATGTATATATATATATATATATATATATATATATATATATATATATATATATATATATATATATATATATATATATATATATATATGGGTGTGATTATTTATTGTTGAGATGGCAATGTGAAGATTTTAAAACTCTAATTATTCATTAACTGAACTGGTTAAAAGCATTTTCCTTCAATATATTTTGCAATTTTTCATCTTAGTTTCACACCCCCCCCCCTATAAATGGTGTCACCTAGTGTCTGCTCGCACCCCCGCCCCTTCCTCGCGACGCCTCTGGGGCTACAGCAACCTGCGGAAACTGCAGCAGACTGCGCAGTTCTTTAAGTCACGTTATATCTCTTATCATATGTTTAAAAACAACAATTGGAGGAAAATGTACAAAAACACTTTCTAAAGATGTATCTGCAATTGAAAGTATCAAAACTTATAGCCAATGGGGGTGGGGAGGGGAGGCGGACTCTGGTAAAAGTATATATTTTCTATATAAATTTTTTTTTTCAGGTGGGGGAGCGGGGGGGGGGGGGGGAGTTAGACGTGCATTGCTTGGGGGGGGGGGGTGCCCCCCAACCCCACACCTAAAAATGCATGAAAGAAACACTGCCCACATTTGGTTCATTAATGACAGCATTGTTCAAGATATACACTGAACTGTTGAATTCAAATAATGAAAGCTGTATTCGTTTTGCTTTTTATTTAGGTTTAATAATGTAATTTAGATTTTTGGTGCTATGCTTCTTCGTTATTAAATGTGTTCTTTTATGATTATATAACATGTCCAACAATGGAGACGAGCTACTCTGTGATCTCAAACCCAGCAAGACAAATGTTTTTTACATTTTGTCCTCAGCACGACGTTTTCTGAAGCCGGTGATTAGACAGCGTCTGTTAGTAGAAATTGATGTCCTGCCTAAAATACAGGTACTTTCTCGTTTGCCATTCATCAAGGGCAATTTTTTTTCAATTTATTCAATAACGGTAACAACAGTAGGCACGGATGCCTTTTTTTCCCCATTGACCGGTTTAGAAAAAAAAAAAAAACAAATAAAAAACAACAACATAATAACAGCATTGTAATGAAAAGCAATTAGTAAACACATAACAGTAACATAGCATTCAAAGATTTGGAGTAAAGAAATAAAATTACATAGTTAGAATACATAATAAGATAAAATGAGAATATGATAGTTACATAGATGAATGAGAAATGTTGCAATGAGTCAGTTAAGGAGGTCATTAAATAATTGTTGTTTTAGTTTAGATTTGAATATATTTTCAGATATGGATGGTTTTATTTTATTATTAAGATTGTTCCACGAATTAGAACCAGAGTAGGCGAAGCTTTGTTTTTGAAAAAAAAGCTGTAAACGGGATGGGTAAACTAAGACGACGATTTAATTAATTTTGTGTTAGGGGTCGTCCATAAATGACGTCACACTCGAAGGGGGGAGGGGTGTCCGTAATTTTTTGACGGCGTGCGATGAGGGTAAGGGGGGGGGGGGGGGGGTTCAGGTGGTGTGACGTCACACTTTTGCATATACATGAAAGTAAGGTTAGAAAACGAGTTTTAGCCGTTATTTCGCGTTTTAGAAAACGGTTTTATAATAGGAGTTGATTAAAATACTCAATGTTGACAGAATTCAGACAAAATTTTGTGAAAAATACCGATTTTTTAAGAAAAATTCAATTGCAGTTTTTAGGGGGGGGGGTTGTAGGCTGATACAACGTATATGTTTGATGACGTATATGTTTTACAGTTACACAATCAAGGTGGAAAACAGTTAAATCAGCGTGTAAAGGCTTGCGGCCAGTAAATTTATTAACTTAGACTATTTACAACGTAAAACTGCAGCATAAATATTTTATTCCACCCCCTTTGGCGCCCCCCCCCCCCTAGGGTCGGCCACTCCCCCTCACCCCCCAGCTACGCCTCTGTGTGCTATTATTATTGTTATTGGGTTCGCGTACTATTTGACTTTCCATTGATCACCATGGCGTAGGCTGAATGTAAAGGGGACAAACAGGGATAGATTAATTATGCTATATCAGGGCCAAGTCTGAAAGATCATTTTTTGGCTGGGGAAACGCGAAACAAGTTAAAAAAAAGTCTCGAACAAAAATCGGAAAATGTCAAATAAAAAATTATAACACTAATGTTCCAAGAAATACTTCGAAATGCTAGTTCAGAACAGTGGCGTAGGCAGGGGGGGGTTTAGGGGGGGGGTCATAATATATATATATATATATATATATATATATATATATATATATATATATATATATATATATATATATATATATATATTTGCACCAGAGTTTCTTCCAGGCATCTCTTCGAAGCCCCCCGAAAATTTTTCACCGCCCCCCGGAGAAAAAAGTCTGGAAGAAACACTGCTTTGGACTGGTTTACATTTATAAAAGAATTACAATTATTATCCCGAATTCCATTAATTCGATAAGTAAAAATACTCTAAGAGAACATTGTTACACTTGGTTTAGTAGGTATTAATTTTTTTAGGCTCGTTTGGGTCACGTGTAACAATAGTAAATAAAACACAACCCACAAAGAGAATATGTATCATTTACGTGTAATTTTTCACCAACCACAAGAAAAAAATATGAAACAACGAACACTGACGAGACATTACACTGTGTTGACGCCACACAACATTTCTTCACCCTCTAGGTCACACACTTTCTCCCGCTAGCACACCACTTTCAAGGTGAGATCACTCGCACACACACACAAACACACACACACACACTCTCTCTCTCTCTCTCTCTTAGTACCTACACATTTTCTTAAAGACAACCGTCACCCCCCCCCCACCCTTTAAAAAAAGTACTCATTTCGTACACATAATAAATCTTTTACAAAAAATTACCATTTCGGGGTGTCTAGTTAGCTATCAATATATAAAGGTAATTCATGCCAAAACAACTGGTTGCTTAACACCGAGACAAAGCATGGACCACGAAGTTGTTTAGACCCTTTATGTGTCTTATGTCCAACTACCCTTTATGTGTCTTATGTCCAACTACCCTTTATGTGTCTTATGTCCAACTACCTTTATGTGACTTATGTCCAACTACCCTTTATGTGTCTTATGTCCAACTACCCTTCATGTGTCTTATGTCCAACTACCCTTCATATGTCTTATGTCCAACTACCCTTTATGTGTCTTATTTCCAACTACCCTTTATGTGTCTTATGTCCAATTACCCTTTATGTGTCTTATGTCTAACTACCCTTTATGTCTTATGTCCAACTACCCTTCATGTGTCTTATGTCCAACTACCCTTTATGTGTCTTATGTCCAACTACCCTTTATGTGTCTTATGTCCAACTACCCTTCATTTGTCTTATGTCCAACTACCATTTATGTGTTTTATGTTCAACTACCCTTTATGTTTCCTATGTCCAACTACTCTTTATGTGTCTTATGTCCAACTACCATTTATGTGTTTTATGTTCAACTACCCTTTATGTGTCTTGTCCAATTACCCTTTATGTGTCTTGTTTAACTACAATTTATGTGTCTTGTCCAACTACCCTTTATGCGTCTTATGTCCAACTACCCTTTATGTGTCTTATGTCCAACTACCCTGTATGTGTCTTATGTCTAACTACCCTTTATGTGTCTTATATCCAACTACCCTTCATGTGTCTTATGTCCAACTACCCTTTATGTGTCTTGTCCAACTACCATTTATGTGTCTTGTCCAACTACCCTTTATGTGTCTTGTCCAACTACCCTTTATGTGTCTTGTCCAACTACCCTTTATGTGTCTTGTCCAACTACCCTTTATGTGTCTTATGTCCAACTACCCTGTATGTGTCTTATGTCTAACTACCCTTCATGTGTCTTATGTCCAACTACCCTTTATGTGTCTTGTCCAACTACCATTTATGTGTCTTGTCCAACTACCCTTTATGTGTCTTGTCCAACTACCCTTTATGTGTTATGTCCAACTACCCTTTATGTGTCTTATGTCCAACTACCCTTTATGTCTTATGTCCAACTACCCTTTATGTGTCTTATGTCCAACTACCCTTTATGTGTCTTATGTCCAACTACCCTTTATGTGTCTTATGTCCAACTACCCTTTATGTGTCTTATGTCCAACTACCCTTTATGTGTCTTATGTCCAACTACCCTTTATGTGTCATATGTCCAACTACCCTTTATGTGTCATATGTCCAACTACCCTTTATGTGTCTTATGTCTAACTTGTATTCCTGTAGCAATAAGCTCCAAGGAGTAGCCTCTGATTTTTAGTTTCATCTTATTTAGGAAGGTCAGTGGATTATGGTCAGTTAGCATCAGGATGGGATGAGCAGAATAACTAACAAAAAAAAAAAGTCAAACTGTTGCAATGTCAGGATGATGCCTTAACACTCTTTTTAATTACAATAATTAGCTTGGTGTTTGTTGAATTTCTTG